GCAGGTATTGATAGTATTCCGATGACTTCACAACTGAGCTGCAACCATTTTGGACGGCAACTTCATAGTTCATTCAGCAGTGCTGTGGCTGTGTGTAATAAGATAATATAGCTATAAACGATCCACAAAGGCAGTAAAATTTTTAAAGCACATTAATTAATGTATTTGAGCGTACTGACTTGATTTCATTTGATTTGTGGTTGTAGTGATGGCAAAAGAAAGCTATAATCTGCGTTATTATTTCCAAACCGCATACAAACACACTAAATTGTATGCAAAAAACAGTGTACATATTATTAGAAGTGCACTCATTAGTGTAGTAGGTGAAGTACAGAAGTGTGTGGTTTGGGGTGCAGTTAGATCAGCCAGTGAGATGTGATCAGCAGCTCCCATGGCTGATTATAGCTTCGCTGTGCTATACACATTAACTGCTCAGTAACAGTTAAACAGCTCCAACTGAAAGTTTGAGGTATTTGTTGATTAAGGATCATTCATTGAAGTAAATTAATGCATTTATTAAGATAAGCCGATGCTGATTCTTTCTACTTTTAAGGTACCTCAGTGTAACCGTGGCACCATTTAAGGTGGAACGGAAAATTCAAATGAGAAGCTTGAATAAGAAGCTGACTTGAGCTTAATATATACACCGATCAGGCATAACATTATGACCACCTCCTTGTTTCTACGCTCGACTGTCCATTGTATCAGCTCACTTACATACTCAGGTGCACTGCTGTAGTTCTACGTTACAGACTGTAGTCCTCTGTTTCTCTGCATGAGCTGTGTAGCCCCCTGTGCCTGTTTTCGTGGTCAGGACCCCCATGGACCCTCACAGAGCAGGTACTATTTGGGTGGTGGATCATTCTCAGCACTGCAGTAACACTGATGTGGTGCTGGTGTGTTAGCACACAGGCTAAACAACTCATTAATATCGCAGGCTTAAAGTACCTACAGCACTGTGAATGAATAATAATAATAATAATGAATAAAGAATATCACTTGAATGGCCTACACGTTTCAAATGTCTGTGTTTCAGTCAGAAGTAACATCAAACCCAGGCTGAATCCCAAACAGTTTCGTACTCCCTAAATAGTGTACCAGGGATTTTTTTAATTCAAGCCTCTATAGTATCGATGTGGCTGAAACCCAAATGACTATTCAGTTATATTAAGCACTGTTGGGATGTAGGAGCCAGTATTTCAATTCATACGTAGTGCACTGTGTAGGGAGCAGGGAGCCATTTGAGATTCAGCCTCAGCGTGAGAAGAGGGCGCTGCTGGATTGGTGCTGTTTAAGGTAATCTGGTGACCAAAAGGTACTTATAAAGTGAAGGTTTTTGCATTTTACAGTGCTGTGTTATGATATGTTCTTTATTATATAACAAAAAAGTTAAAAAGTTTATAAAATGACTGCAGTAAACAGCGATGGGTGAACCAACACTCTACTACTCATTCAATAATCAATGGTTGCTTGGCGACGATACCATACTCTAAAGGAACTACATTTCTTGGCAGAATACTTGTTTATGTCCATTATTATTATTAATAACGTACATTCTTTCTGAAAAATTGTGTATTGTATCACATTCTCTGTTGGCCACCATTTTATAAAAGCAATAAGCTTATTGTTTTATTCTACCACTAGCTCGCCTAGTTTTAGAGAATACTGCTGTGTAAAACTCAACCAGAAGCTAGTCCAGAACGTCACTACAAATGTCTTTTCGAGACACAAGGTAACCCAGGGATTAAGGGTTATGGGACCGAATAGTACCAGGTAATAGGTCTGATTTGTATAGACTTTTTCAGCCATTTATGCATGCCGTATGGCATATGGCAGGTTACAATACGATTTTCTGACACAGTTTACAAAGTTACTTAGTGCCCAATTTTATCAGTAGGCCTTCAGCATAGTTTATTACAGTACAACAGTTACCATGGTCAAAATATGTAAAAAAAAAAAATCTTAATGATATTTTGACCTGAGAACTGGAAATGTCCCTGGTTTATGGTTTAATATAGTTAAATAACTACATATGTTGAGTGTCAGGACAATAAGAAAATAACCATCAATTAGCAAACAAACAAAAACATGAATGAGTGCAGAGTATTGAAACCCTGGCATACACGATGGTAGGGGTCTTCAATCTTATCCACAAAGGGCTGGTATGGCTGTAGGTTTTCCAACAAAACAGGTGCACTGTGGATAAGACCACCTTATGGCATTTCCTGAATAGGTATGTCTATTTAAGAGGTTTACTCAAACAACTTCCATCTTGCCTGCATTTCACTCTGAATTACTTTGTTATTACACAATTTCAGTCCATATACTTTGGCAAGGAAATGACTCCACATCTCAGACGCTTAAAACTGAGATTTGTTTCAAGCTGCCCTGCTATAGCAGCTTTGCTGACGTGCTAAACAGTTCCCCTGCCTAAGCAGTTTTATGAGAACATCGCTTTCAGACATCAGGAGATAATGTAGTTAATATCACCATACTTCACTCAGGCCCACAAACCCTGCTGGTGAGCATACTGTGGGAAGGCTTAAAGCAGGAGTGAAATCAGCAGCTTGAAAAAGGCAATTTCACAGTCAGCATCTAAGAGAAACATGAAGTGCTTCAGACAGCCCATGGGTACTAAGCTGCATGTTGGGTTCGGTACATGGTCGAGCTGAAAATCACTAGAGAGAAAAAACCCAACTGTGAGTCGACGACCTGAGATGTCAAGAATGGGTAGTGTGTTTTTTTTTTCCTGGCCATTAGTCTGGGCTGGCTTGTTTTTGATTCACATCTTTCCCATCATGCACCTCCTGAGTCACAAGCCTTATTATCCAAGCTTCCCTCGCTTGTTTGGCTCCCTTTGATTTATCAGGATGGCAGACCATTGAAAAATAGTGCTTCTATCATGCCAGGAGATTGAGAGGAGGGGAGGAAAAAAGCAAATCACAAAAGAGAAACTGTATGGGTCACCATGGCAACATTTCCTTTCTCTTTCTGTCCATCTTTTCTTGTTACCTCTCATTTTCATGTTGTGGTTGAAGTCAGGAGTCTGTTAACATGCTGTTGACAATGGCCCTTCTACCTGAACACTTAGATGCATGCAGTGAATTCCAGGCTTCTTACCATCAAAAGCAATTTTAGAAATTTGCTTTTAGCCAGTTGGAGGGCCACTAACAATGACAAGTAATACAAGGGCCAACAACATCTTGCTGATGTTCCAGGTTCAGTGGCTTGTGGTGATGATGACTCCTAACGACAGGGTAAATCTGATCCGAGATAAATACTCTTGCCCTGAAATGCTTCACGAATGGTCAACTTCGTTTCTGCTACGATGCCAGCTGTTCTGCTGTGAATATGTGTTTAGCACTTGAAAAGCCTGTCATCATCTTTAAGAACACCATGCGTACACAGAAATGACGCAGGCCTTTTCATGGGCTCTTTCAAATCAGTGAAGAAGCACTCTTCTAATATGTAATTTTACATATTCACAAGATGAAGTTGCTGCTTGAATGTAAAGGGTGTCATCATCACCAGCTTTGAAAATTGTTTTGATCGTCAGTGGCCAAATCACACATCAACAGCACTCATTCTTGTGATTGGAAAGAACATATTCTACTTTTTCTTAATGAAGTAGTAAATTATACCAATTTGCAGCACAATTTTAAAAACTAGGTTAACGGCTATTATGTGTTGTAGCACAGTTTCTGTCTTCTTATTCCAGATCAAGTGTTCCATACATATGCCCATACAATCATCATCACATAATTACCCACTTTCAGGAACTTCTCTGCTTTAAACCGCCTGGAACAATTTTGAATTCTGCAATTATTATAGCAATGACGTCTGTAATATGAATGAGGAAGATGAATCTGAACAATGGACGTCACAGATATATTCACCACTCTGCACAGTTTATTAATGTCATGTTGTGCAACACATCCATGTAACATGTTAAAGGAATTAAATACAGAGAAGATAAGGCTGATCAGAATGACAGCACATTCTTCCGATGTTCACTGTTCATTTCTTGCAGTCTACGGTAAAGAGAGAAGTGAGGAACTCTGTCTTCATTGATATTCCGCCCTTAGCACAGTTGGAAATCATTCCAGTTCAATAGAAACATCCGTGTTTTCATCTCACAAATTAGCTCTACAAGGTCTGCAGGTGGTAATACCTTGTAATTATATACTCATATGCAGTATTCTGCATTGGCAGGCATCCCAATGCCAATTTATCAGCGGCATGTAAACACTTTGGTTTGAACGAAGAAGAAAAAGTACTCTTTTATCAGAACCAGGCAGGGCAAGCATGAGACATCATAAGTCTTCATTCATTTCTGTACTGATGAGGGTAGATCCAAGATTCTGTTTAATTTTTCTGTCCACCTTCTTTAAAACACTTTCCCTGATAATCCACTTGCTTGCAGAGTCTCTAATGATGCTACAACACATACTGGGATGTGAAGCGAGTCATTACTGACTGGATAACTAGCAAATTAATGAAGCCGAAGCCTTATCCTGCTATACTATGTTTTCATTTTTTTAGGGTGAGGGACCGCGAGTGGGTCGCAGTGGTCTGACGAATATCAATTTTGCAAACTTAGTATGGTTTTTATGTATTTTTGCTTAGCATGTCTTTCTATATATCATGTGGAACCACAGTCCCTTATGATATATTAATGCTGGTTTTCAATCAAAGGTTTTAATTGCAATTAGCGTGATGTTGACTGCAGTGTAGCGAAAGAAAAAGCCGAATCATTTGTTTCTTTGAACAGACATCTCTCATAAAAATACAATTACGTAAATGGTATTATTATAGATAATTATAAGAAGGTCAAAGTTGACTTTTTTATAATTCTCTCCGTTTGAATATTTTATCTACAAAGTGTTCATTTTAAACATCTTTTGCACACTCCTTTCAAATATAAAGATTCACTTAAATTCATTTCATGTCCCCAAACTCACACAGACCTCTAAATACGTTGGGGAATTAAGTCTGCCGCTGTTTCATGTGGAAATACTGTTCAAAGACAAACGTCTTCAAGCATACAGTCACTTCAAAAGAGTGTTCCCGTATTTGTAGTGTCTCTGTTTCATTCTCAGCTGAAGGGTTTGCTTCTGAAGAATAAGAAGAATAAAGATAATTGATCTGTTTACTTGTCCTCACACTTGATCCTTCCTTCCGCAAGCACATGCATCATTGGGCTAGTCCTTGAGAGTCTTGAGTCGAGGAGTAGTGTCCCATTGCAAGTCATCATAACCACCAGTAGGTTCACTCTGTTTATGCACTCACTTTCTGGACATGCTACTAACACGCGTATGTTGCCAAATGAAGCAAGTATTTACACTGACTGTATGTGCACCTGAAACAGACCACTTAAGTGTGGACTTCAGAGTTTGTGTTATCACTCACACTCTGGCGTTAACCCCACACCGGGTCATTTCTGTCAGAGCACTACGCTCGCAGTGGCGCAGTTGTTGGCGGGTATCCCAATCCCAATTCGGCGGTGGCATGTGAACATCTTTCGTAGCTCTGCTCGGAAGCGATCGTGCAGCCACGCGTACAGAAAGGGGTTGCAGCAAGATGAACTCATGGCACATAGGTGACACAGCAGCTGGATGAGCAGGAAATAGCGCTTATCAATCAAGTTGATATCAATGTCGCGAAGGACGTTAAAGACACTGATCGGGAGCCAACAGACCGCAAAAGCTGCCACCACGAGCGTCACAAGGCGGAATGTTTTCCGCTTCCGGGCCCGCTGGGCCTCTGCCTGGCTCTGAGTGCGGTGCCCAGGCACCACACAGTTGCGAAGCTTGACAGAGATACACAGGTATGAGATGCAGAGAGCGGAAAGCGGGAGGACGTAGGTGATGAAAAGCGTGCTGTAGGCGTAGGCCAATCGCTCACGTTCCTGGCCCATCCAGAACTCCTCGCAGATTGTGAAGCCCTCGTCTTTGAACTCTACGTGGTAGGTGTGGGCCACCGCTGGAGCCACCAGGCCACAGGAGAGGATCCATATACCGGACAGGAGGTATGCGCAGGCCAACACAGAGATGCGTTTCTTCAGAGGGTGGACCGTAGCATAGTATCTAAGGGGCAGAAAAAGTTTTGAAAATTACACTGAAAATTGTAGATCCTAATGCCAAGCAAAGAAACATCAAAGCTGGATTGATCATAAGTTGTTGGACTACACCAAACCTGCTATTAGGGATGTGCTACTGTCTTGAAATGAAATAGGTAATAGTGAATGGGACTGTCTTATTGTACCTTTGTGTTACTTTGGTATTAATGTTGATAACTATTGATTGTAGCCTTTATTACTGATGTTTCTTACTTAAATTGTTATTTTTATTTTTTATATGGAGCAACTGTCATTGTACTGCATTGCACATTATATTATCATACTCTGTATCTTATTATTATTTAAATCAAAAAGGGTAATTACTAATGTATTACATAATAAAAATAATATATCAATAGTATTGCTTCGAAAATATGGTAAGGAGTTTAAGATATTACTGTATAACAAATCAAGCTTCGATACAGGCCTTCAGCACTTCAGTATCACAGGTAATATCACCATTTGTCAGACTTGTAAGAACTATAAACAGTGCAAGATTGAATTAATCGATCTTGTCAGAAATCACTTAAATATTAGTTCCTCCCCAGGTAAAACTAATCCAGCTTAAGACTGCTGGCAGTTTTATGGAAATTTCTTAAATTCAGGTCCCTTCAGGTCACTTCCCGTCACGGCTTAGCTCTAAGATAGGCATGTGGGAAACCTTGACACATCTGCCAGTGACTGAACAGACAATCTTGGTTTGTTCTAACCACAGACCATGCAGAGTCAGAGTTATGTGTTGTTCTGTTCATAGATGATTACACTTTAACTTTTAGGACAATCCCTCTGTCCTAACTGGTCGAATGAGCCTACAACTATATTTATAAAAATGGATGAGGAGACATTCAGAGCTGCATCTTTATTACTTAGAGCATTCATCTGTGCATCCTTTCGCAAAGTATGCAGGGCATGTACGGGAGGCTGGTCTGTCTGCAAGTTTGAAAAACGAAAAGCCTTGTTGAAGTGGCAGGTTATCTGCCTTCCCTATAATTCCCCCCAAATTGAACTCATGGCATCACAAATCTATAACATCAACCCAAACCGACATGTGCCTTCCCTCTCTGTCACATGAAAACAGTCCAGAATCCATAATACACACCCCCAATCACTCACCTGTCCACCCCAATGGCGGTTAGCGTGAACACAGACACGTACACAGTCACCGGCTGAATAAGGAACACTAAATAGCACATGAATCTTCCAAACACCCATCCTCGAGGGTTGAAGGCATATGCCAGGGTAAAGGGAACACAAGTGGCACACATCAGCATGTCTGAGAATGCCAAGTTCCCAATGAAGAAATTAGTCACGTTGTGCATCTTCCTGGTGTGGCAGATGACATACAGCAGCAAATAGTTCCCAAAAACACCCACCAGCACTACCAGGGCATAACAGGGGATGATGAGGGGTTTGAATGACTGAAGGAGCTCCACCCCAACAAACTGTGGACTGCGTTTTCTAGTGCTGTTTGCTGACTGTACCACCACTTCATATATCCGACCCATGCTGGAGTTCTCCGTGGTGATGTTACTCAGGCAACAGGAGGGTATGGGGTCACCTGGCCAACCACTACCACTGCCCTCCATCATTGAAAGTTAGATGTCAGCCTCAGTGGCCTAGCACTGCAAAGAACAAGCAAGAAAAAGACATGTGTTTAGGTGGCATGTCAAGCCAAATCTCCAAAAGGACACAGAGTGTGCTACTCAGTTTCTCAAGTGACAGATGGCTATGGTAGGCCCATAAGAACTGGCAAGCCAAACGATTGCATTTTGTGTGGGTGATGATTTCGAGTGAATACCAGCATGAATTTTCCAGCTGTTTGAGTCATCGATGTGTTCGATACATACATATTTGCATTCAATTTGCTTTGTAATGCAAATGAGCCTTTCATTTTCTGGCACCCCATTAATAAGTGAGTAAATGGCTCACAGATTAAGTGTAAATACTCTCCAGTCCCAAAGGCAACAACCACATGAAAATTAATAGTGGTGTTTTTTTCTGGTTACTGACTTCTGTTTGTCAACCCTAGCAAATCTAGAAATAGCAGAAAGACTGTTTGCACAAAAGGCTTGCGCATTTATCCTGTTGTAATTGTATGCTTAAATCATGTGCTTTTAAAATGTGGCACCTATTTTCAGTTTGGTATAATAAGCAATAAAAGACACTCATTTTAAGACGAGGGTAACTGACTGTTTTTCTCTAGTGCTCGTGCTGAAGAACATGAGAACAAAAAGACTCCCTTAGGGTGCTGTCATGTTCTTGCGATGGACATAGTAGTGTACCAAGTTTGTAATTTGGTTTTGCACTAAAGCTGAACCCAGTTTGCTTCATAAAGGCTGATATAATAAACAGTGACTATTTACGCAGCTTAGACCTTCGCTGACAGTACTCAAAGGAGGAAAAGTAGAACATTAGCTTGCCAAAAGAGAGGAAGAGATTCATGTGGCACATTCTGCTATTTTCTGATTTATTAAAACCTTATAAGCTTTCTCTGAGACCGCACAACTAACAGACTATACAGAAAATAAATAGGATGAGCTTCTTAGGAGCATGCTTGACTGGTACCTGAAAAACTGACAGGGTTTTAAAGCTTTGAGTTTCAATACAGCATCAGTTAAAAAAGAAGTAATTAAAATGTGAGAGGAGCTTCAGGTGTTGTTTTGGAAAAAAACAAAAAAAACAAGCATGGGTGCATTCGAGATCAATTCTAAAATATGTATTTCAGGCATGTCCCATAGAATGTGCAGGGAAATTACAGATTTGAGAAAAACTATGGATTGTTTTACTGCATTAAATCAATGTGGTGCAAGGCTTGCTATCCTTCATTCGTTTATAGTGTTTCTTTCCTCCACTTTATCTGCTTGATGTTCTGCAGGTTATATCCACATGATAATGGTACTGAGGTACTCTTAAAAGCATACGTGTCAGCAAAGAACCCAGGTGAGCAAAAGCAACAATTAGTTATCAGTCTAGTACATCGTGTTTTACTAGGATGTTAAAAATACCACCATCTATCACAGGAGTAAAAGAGACAGCACAGAAATATTCTTTAGTGACCAAATTTACACAGATACAAACTACATAGTGTAAATGTTTTGTGATATATTGTAATTAGAGATGGCACCAATCTGAGGGCAGGTGTTAGTATCAGGCTGATTTCAGCAGGAAATCATATATCGGAAGGAAAAAACACAATGAATCTGAACCAATCTAATAACAGATCTAGCCTGAAATAGCACACACTCACACTGTGTAATGCGATGTTATTAGCTGTGTAATGCTTCCTGTGGGGTAGTTGAGTGTTTGTGTAGTTTAAGCATAACAGCCTACTTCTAGATGATCATCTTTAGTGGAGTGCTTCAATAAAAAGAGCTCATTTTGAAGCCTAGTAGTTTTCAAAGAATAATCTGGTATTGGTTTTGGGCAATCCTCAAGGTTTCAATACCAGTATTGCTTTTATGTTAATTTAGTTTATTTAATTATCTGTACTTGTCTATAACTGATTTTTATCAGCTTATCAACACTCACCTATAGCAGATCCATCCTTGTTATTTATTCTTTCCATGCTGCCCCCTTTAACAAAAGAGCAACGCTGACACAGTGTCACGCGTCATGTTTTTCGCTGTATCTCTTATCTTGGCATTGACCAGCGGCTTGTTTTTCTATTACAGCCCATGCCTCTCCATCACCTGTGCACATAATGTGTGCTTTGAAAAGCTCAAATCGAATACACAGTGTCTGAGGATATTCAGTCTGATGAGCTGACCTTGAGCTTGCCCTATTCAAGCATCCACCTCGGCAGCAAATAGTTGCTCATCGGTCTTAGCCACAAAGCTGCTTTGTTGCTTCCTCCTATTCTGGATATCCCCACAAATGATGTTCCTGTGTTGAAGGCAGGGAACGTTAATGGCTGTGCACAACATCAAAAGACACCCAGCCTGAGAGACACACTTAACATCCCACCTTTAGAGGACATGCTACATTTGTTGGGGAAAAACTGACCTTTGCACAGAAGCATTTCAAAGACCTTTCACTGGTATCAGGCTATGACCTTGTCCTGCTCAGTTTAGAAGTTATGTTTTCTCTAAGTTTTGTATTTACCGTAGGATCTCAAAAGCAGCAATTTCCCTTGGCCAGTCATAAAGTCAGTCATTGTCTAGCCTGGATTTCAAGGCAATTGCATTTACCGGATTGAACATGCCTGCATCTTAAATGCTTTTGCTGAGGCAAAATAAAAATCAGTATCTAGTTCTTCAGTCTGCTCCTCTTTTCTGTTAATAATGTGATTTCTCAGTACTGTTGTCAAATTTAGTATATGTAATTAGGAAGAGGGTGTGGCTTAAAGCAAAAATGAGTGTGAGGCGCTGGACGCAGACATGTTTATAGACTGCGACAGACTGCAGGCTGATGAAGCTTCAATGTTTTCAATTATATGCATGTGGACTGCAATTAAGATAAGCCAATCACAAGTCAAGATTTTGGAACGAGTAAGCTTACTGGCTCACTGATGCTAATAAATCTGTCTACTTAGGTATTGAAATTTCATACAGAACAACAGACCTTTTCAAAGCTTCATAGTACTAAAGCAATTCAGCTAGTACTATTGCAGTATTGAACTTTGATGCCCAGCCCTATATGTAGAACATAATCTAATGAAGTCGAAAATTCAGTGGCCATTTATTGTTACTCTAATAAAACAACTCTTTTTTTAGAAAGCTCTTAGCAATGTGAATTCTGGGAAAACTCTGTATGTGCAGAGAAGAGGGCCAGAAGAGCAGGGTGCAGAAACAATGTCTTTACTGAAGAGCACTCTGCCTGTCTGCACCAAACCCAGTTTGCCTTACAGCTCTAACATACTAAGTACTATACAGTGTTTAAGAATTGTCTGTTTGTGTGTTTTAAGAACTGCCTAGTACCTCTTTTCTTATCATAAAAGGCACCTGGGACTTATCAGGTTCTCCCAGTCTCTAATTATTGATTATTTAGTGTACAGAATGCACAGAGATAAGTGAAACTTTCAAGGACATGACCAGACATGGGTGGACTAACTGCAACTTAAAAAATAAAATAATAATAATAATGATAATAAATAATAAAATAATCTCCACAGAATCTGACAATAAAGTCAACATACTCCTTCTTTTCTGTAGTGAAAGAACACGCGCCTTGCACTTCAATTCCACATGCTGATACATTTTAATATGGCCAATGTAAATGTGTGTTTACTACTCTGGAGGCAGATTTTAATACGTTGAAGAGGACAAAGCCAAAGTTTCTAAATGTGAGACATTAGGTAATGAACAAAAGGAAAAAACTCTCTTTTCAGCTGAGCTTTTAAGTTGCAAGAGCTATTACTTTGGCAGATTGATGCGCTTTGCAAGTGGTACAATTAATTATATGTTAATCTAAATCATTGCTTTGGCCTCTTCAGTCATTTAACTACAAAAGGCTGCAATTGCCCACTGCATAAAAATCAGACTGTTCATGTTGCAAACTGTAATGATTATCAGATGAGTGTATTAATGCCTATTGTGTGAGCTTTAAGTGTTCTGACACTTCTGACTCCCACAGAATGTTCTATGACTGCTCACACAGCCTAAGGAATCACTGAGTTTCTGTGTAGTGAGCTGTAACTGTTTTGAAGTATACTGAACCTTTCACTCTAAATTAATAGGGTTTTATCAAGTAAAGTATTACTAAAAACAATGACAAAATCATGCACTCTACACTCAGCTTAGATCAGGCAGCAGCCAAAAGATATGCTTTGACATTTTTCCATTGTCCTAGGCACAAATGAAAATCTGGTTGAAATCTGTATTGTGGTGATAGTTCATGTTAGAGATACTAATATAAATAATAAATAAATAAAACAGATAAATACATAAATATCAGATAGGTAACAGTAATGTTAATGGTGTGATAACGATGATGACCTAATATTATAGTAAACAATGTACAAATTGTAACATACTAATGGGCAAGTGATACATTTAGTCCTAATATATAAAATATTGTATTTTACTGAAAGCGCATCCAGTAAACTGACTAAAAATTATTGCTGGCCTCCAAACTCCTGTGATTATTCCTTTCAGACCAACAGTATCATTTCAAACATTCTTTTTAATGATTAGGCAAATATAAGGCGAATTCTCCCTATTATACATAACCCATAACCCAATTACATGATGCAGTTGGACATACTGACTAAGCCTTTCAGAAAAGCTTTCTAGATACTCTTTTTTGTTTTGATGATGTATGTTCTCTGTTAGCAGTCATTTTGAATAGCTTGTAGAGGAAGCTGTTTTCTATTAATATGTTGTTTGAGATAAAGTACCTTAAGTACCTTTTATGTGTTTTGGTTGGTTAAGCATAGAAACAGAGAGAAAGCATTTAAGACTATCTGCATTCTTCACGGCTGTCGTGAGGCTGTGATGTAAACAAGCCTCCACTTGTATAATAGCATATCAGTGTTGTCGGAAGAAAACCTTGTATCTTCAAAATGATAACTTTACAGGAGAAGGAAAAAAACCTACTTCACTTTTAATGTGACTCAATGGAACCAGACTTTTTTCCAAGTAATTTTGGGTCATTTCTTTTGGTCCATTCATCATGAAATTTACAGACAATGTAAAGGGTAACAGGCATTATCCAATTATACCATAAACTGAAAAACGACAAAAATGGAGATACAAGGTTTTCTTCCGACAACAGCAATATGTGATTTTATTACACATTTAAATATGTTCGGGATACGACTGCTTTTGTTTGCTTCTTAAATCTTTGTCTTCTTAAACCTGACAGACTGCTGACTAGCCAGAATGAAACATCCAAAGACCCTATATAAATGCTAATACCTATTATAAAATGCACACAGAGCACAGACTGTAAAATTAATATGAAATACTCTAATGAACCCATGTGATTTTATATCCATTGCTTCGACTCCCCTTGGTACTAAAACACGAAATGGTCCGATATTGGCTTAATGCATCACAGCACTATAATACAACCAAAACCACAGTAAGCTGTGAAACGATCAGATCTTCCAATCTGCCAGCTGATGGCTTCCCTGTACAAAAGCAGGCTCTATCAGTCAACTTTAACTCTGCAAAATGTCCATTTTCAAGTCCGACTTCAATTCCAGGCGTTTGCCCTCGTCCATTAACTCTAGTGGAATTACTCTGTGAATACAGAGCAGAATCTGAGCATCCCTGAGGGCAGCTCGGTGTGAGAGGAGATAAGCCAGAAGGACTTTCATTGTAGAAACCAGCACCCTATGTTTGATGAAGGGAGGGCGGTCAACTGTGACGAACCTAAAGGCAGTTTTCTGGCCTGAAAGCTCAAATACACACCCACAAATAGGCATACGGAGACCCCCTGCACTGCACATCAAGCTCCAACACCTGATTTGAATAATCAGCTAATGAACAATCCTTTGATGAATTGGATTTGGCAGGGATGAGCGATACCACAGATTTTGTACTCAATCTGTTACTGAGTAAAGACTATTTTAGCTAAACATGATGCAAATGGATAAAACTCTTAGACCTGCACATGCCTTTTTATTTATTGATGTATTATTGTAAAATTGTACCCAAGATAAAGCAGGTGTCAGTAAAATAGTAAATAAAATACATAAAAATAAAATAAATAAAGTAGTAAAATGTATCAACATGAGGATCTGGAGCTGTCTGTGTGCTATTGTGTTTTCTAGTACTATGTAAAAGCTTGATGCTGCCATTTTTTGTCGTGTGCACTGTGACAGTTTCTGAGCGAAGATTCAAATTGCTACAGGCTTATTACTGATTTGTTCCATCAGGGTGATAATAAAAGTCCATTAATGTGCTTTACATGTTTTCATGTTCAAAATGTAATGTGTGGCATAAACAAAATAATCTACACATTTTCAGCTTGTTCTTTACATATCAAAATAAATGAGAGCATTGCGAAATCACATTATTAATGGAGAAGAGCAGGCTTAAAGGCAGAAAAGTGTGTATATGTATATTCATCAAACTATCATTTTAAAATTGTTTTCCTCAAGAAATAGCATTTTAAAAAATTACATGTTGAAGGTTTAAAACGACCTAATATGAGAGATGACACAGTATCACTTTCTCTTTTCCAATACCTTGAATATTGGCTGATACTGATCCGATACTTCTTTTTTAAAAACTACTAAACTTTAAAATCTATTGAAAATCTATTTTTACATTATCATCTAGTAGGTTATCAAATTACTAAAGCACTCTACTAACCCCACATTAAGAACTACACAGCTAACAACATCACCTCACACAATGAGAGAGTGCAATATTTCACAACAGGTTTGTTACAGGACCAGATCGGATTCCTTAATTTCCCCCTCCGATATCTGATCCAGCATTTTCTGCTGATATCAGCCCATTAATGATGCCTAGTATTGGATTGGTACCATCTCATATATTATTATCACTTGCACTGTTTTCAGACAAAAAATGGAACTAGATCCACTTGGATTAACATGACAAAGAAAAAAAAAAAACTTTATTGGTAATGGTGTACAAATAAATAAAAATAATAAACACCTCAGCGCTGTAGCCCACCATCACTTAAATGTTCTGTGCTATGAAACGTGCAACTGATGTTCTTTAAGCACTGATGACATCCACAATATGGTCAGAAAAGCATATTGTGACATATTGTGATAATCTATCATGACAACAATAAATATTGTGCTGCCATATTTTCCAGCATCCAATACATAGTCAACTTCATTAGCACAAATATATTAAAATTATTGCAGGGATATTTTCTTAAAAGGACATGTGAGGACGAGAAGAATCAATACTTCAGTAGCAAATCCATCCTTTTTTAGAAATTCATGGGGAAAATACCAAGGCAGTGTCTCTTTACACTAAGCAAAAACAGAGTTAACCACACAGCCTGACTATCTATACTAACTCAGCCTGGTTAATCATGTGACCATAGAACATCAAAACGCTTATTTCTGCTGTAATTTTCATACTTTACATGAACAAAAATGAGGCAGCATTGAGAGACTGCTGTGTTCACTGGAGTTGAGGTAATTTATTATTAAACAGAACAGACGTGAGAGTAATTTTCCACTTAGTACTCAAAATATCCAACCAATAAATATGTAAAATATCAAACACTGAGTGCATTTACATGGACTCAATAATCCGATCATAATCAGATTTCTGCAGTTATCAGATTATTCAAATTGTCATGTAAACACCATACTCCGATCCAGAAATCCGATTAAGAAATCTGATAAAAAGAGCTGCATTTTAGCTCAGTAATCAGATTTCTCAGTGCACGTAAACTCTTACCCAGATTTCTTTCAGATTTCTCAGTCTGTGCATGTGCGAAAACAGACAGCAGACAAGCGGCGCTGCCACAAGCTGGCAGCAAAACACTTTTGGAGCGACGCTGAAACCAAATACATTCTTGACGAAATAAAGGACTTATATTCTTCATCTTCTAGATGATGTATGTTCATATTTTCAGGTAAAGTGGCACAATGATTAAAAAAGCTGCGGCATGAAGTTTGAGTTTTACGTTATGTTTACGTCACGTCTTCTTCTGTGAGTTTATTGGCTGGTTGCAAAGCAGAAATCTGATTACTGCCTGACTCATGTAAACCCGGACTTTCTCAAGAGCATGTAAACGCGTTGATTAGATTACTGACAAAATCTGATTTTCTGCAGTTATCTGATTATTAAGTGAAACATTACCTAGAACAACATAATGATGCTGATTGGTACAGTGTTGTGAAAACACCACTGTCCTCCATATTTAAGTCTGGGGTTTGATTCCCCATCTGAGCAAAGGGGGGATTTGAACACTATTTAAAAATGTTGAATTGGTTTTGGCATTACAATTTGGCAGATCAGCATTGATAAAATTTGAATTTAAGAGAGTTTTCCAAGAGAGTACTTGTCATTTTTGGAAATGATTATGTACTGTCCACTATTACTGTTTTAAATCATAAATAAAACACATTTATTTACTCCTTCAGATCTTTTCAGATATTTTTTTAATCCAAATATACAGATACAAGCAAGTGCGTGCGTAAGCAATAGCAGTAACAAATCAAACAGGGTTAGTCACCCCGAGAGAGAGAGAGAGAGAGAGAGAGAGAGAGAGAGAGAGAGAGAGGCAGGTAAGAATGACCTCAAGCACAGCTTGAAAGAAAAGCAGAATAATTTAATTGCTGCTACTGCTGCTGAATCAGTATCAAGAAAAATAGCATGTAATTATGGTAGTGTTAATAGCATCACTGCTACACACTGAGTACACAGTAAAACAATGCTATTTGCACTTAGTGTAAACAGCATCTGCCAAATACTAAAACTGTGCAGGAAGGCAAGACTTCAGTACCAGTACACTCACTCTCTCGCTCGCTCTCTCTCTCTCTCTCTCTCTCTCTCTCTCTCTCTCTCTAAACACATACACACGACTGAGGAGCCCGAGTCCAGGTGCTGAGAGCAGCTACGAGCCCTTTATTATGACTGTGCTGGAGTTTGTGAGTCGCTGCTGTTTCGAACAGACTCAGAAGTACAGCGGATATAATGAGGGGGCGAGACAGCTGGACCTTTCTAAAGCTTTCTTATTACGACAGCTTCTCCATCCAGTCTCTCCACTAACGAGCGTGTGGTGACATTTCCCTGCCAAATTAATAAGCCACGAATGCAGGAAAAAAACGGTCCCTGATTAAAGTTTTTTGCTCACACCTTCAATAACTGAGGAAAAAAGGGACGACACCGGAGCCACTGCGAGCTACTACAATTAACATTAAAACACAGCGTTTTTAATGATTCAAAGTCGAAATATAAAAGTCTCCAGACTTATAAACACTGTTTTTCCGACCGCAGGTTCAAACAGAGCCACCACATAAAAAAGACGCTGCGTTTTAATGACGGACACAAAAAAGTGATATTTTTATCCTTGTTCTTGTTTAAATAAGTGTCTTCTTATGATTCTTATTAGGTGTGAAGTCTGTTGCTCGTATCTTGCAGGTTTAAGCGAGAATCTCACCTTTTCCTGCAGATTCAGTCCAGTTTTCCTGAAGAAGATGAAGCTCAGGTCGGTCCGTTGACGCTGCTGAGGGGCACGAGCGCCAGACTGTCAGTGGAACTTGGGTTTTTTTTTTCTGCTCGAGCGCGAGGCGGGAAGAGGCGCGAGGGGCGGAGTGGAAAAGCCCGCCAGTTCAGCGAGGCTAGGCTAACTGAAGGAGAGGACAGGTGATGAAAATAAGAGCTACCAAAGATGATGAAGGCGTTTTTAATCATGAAGGGGCTGTGTTTGAAATACCCAACTACAGACTGCTGGCGAAATGATTCTAGTCAGTACATGAATAATAAAATATTCCAGTACTCCAGCCAGAGATCTTCATCACTTTGGCCAGATATCGTTTACACTTCTCACTAAAATGTGTCCATGTTTGACTAAGAAGAGATCTGGTTGTACTTTTCCCACGTTACATACGTCGTTTTACTTTTCTTTACTCTTTTCTCCGTTACTATATGAGTCGAGAAGCTTGGCTTGGAAGCTTTAATCAGCCTGAAGAACATGAATTCGGCTCTTGGTTTGGGGCTAACACCCTTGGGTATCCTTCATCTTTCATTTAGTTGTTTATCCCCTCATCTGCTAGTCTAGAAGTCGGCAACCCAAATGTTAAGAAGAGCCATTTCGTCCTTTCAACAAATATCAAAGCACCTTGAGAGCCACAAGGTTTTATGTCCATTTTACCATTATGGATGTAAATATGTTTCAGTATGTGCTAATGTGCTAGTAGGCTAAAAATAACACAGACATATTTTGCTTTGCTTTAAGTTTTAGCTCAGCTATAGCCACTTCTCTCACATCTCCGGCAGGACACCTTTCCTCAAAAATTGACTAGTTTCTTGTAAAACGTCTCTCAACATTGGAGTTTTTAGGACCACCTTAAATGGTGCGTGAGGCGCCAGAATGTGCTGCTAAGTATTAAAGTATCTTGGCAGTTTGAGATGCACTCAAGCTTTCACCTTCATTGTACAGGAACTCGGACTAGGCAAGTTTACAGTTTATTCAAGGGTAGAAATCTAATGTTGAACACAATGAAAACTTAGAAAAGAATTAGAAAAGAAGATGGTTACCTTGTGTGAAAGCATTCATTTTGTCAGATTTTTATACAAGGAAATAACACAGGATCCCACCACCACCAACCCCCAGTCCACCCACACCTCTGACTTTAAAACCCTACCTCACAGGAAGCTATTACATTTCATATACATTGGCTGATAAGTAAGGTAAGATTTAAACAATGTGTTTTTTAAAGGTTGCTTTTTCTTGTGCTAAATAATAAGTATCTGCCATTTGTCAAAATTTAGGTTCTCAAACTTCTCACAACACAAATTGGTTAGCCAGCACCAGCTGCAAACACTGATTCTTCTTCTTTCTACGTCTTCCAACTGGTGCTATAGCGCCACCAAATTCAAGCTGGCAGTTAAACAAGAAAACGTGAGTAACACTCTCTAGAGCCAGTGTTTGGTTTGTCCATTCTGGGCTACTGTAGAAACATGGCGGCACAAATGCTGGCTTCTGTTGGAAGAGGACCCGCTCCCTATGTAGATATAAAGGGCTCATTCTTAATGAATGAGAACAAATTGATTCATAGTTACAGGTGATTACACTCTAATGAAAACATGGTTTTGTACATTATATTCTATTTCTACTAAAATATACCCCTAAATCTTGCACAATACAAGGCAAAAAAGTACCCAAAATCTTTCTTAACATTCTCTCTACCTGCCAGTGGGGTTCAATCCCCCACCTGGGCAAGCAACCTACACTATTACACTATAGCAATAAGAGTCCTTGGGCAAAACTCCTAACACTACATTCGCCTACCTGTGTAAAATGATCAAACTGTAAGTCCCTCTGGATAACAGCGTCTGCCAGATGCCATAAATGTAAATGTAGTTTCTATTATCACCACTGTGGATAAAATCTGAGTCAGTAATGTCTCTGCAATGCAGCATTTCACATCAAACCATACCAAATGATTTTGTTTACATCTTAACAATTGATGTATGCAGAAATTTGCCAAAGTTGGTGAAATTCTCCATTAAATCACAAATAAATGAAACTCATTAAAGTGCTGGTAAGCTTTGTAGCCCAGAGGCTAATTGGATTGACCAGAGAAAGCCAAGGAAAGCCAAGGCTGACTAATTATCAGCACTAATCATTATATTAAAGACACACTGTTTTTTTTCCTCTTCATATCTGCAGTTTCAGCTGATTAGTGTACCGTGTGGGTGAATAGCTTGAGCACTGGCAGGTTTCCTGTCAGAATTAACACTGTGTACCTCACTTGAATTACCCTCAAATCCCTTTTCACTCCGCTCTCAGTAGCCGGAACCATGCTTAGATGTTGGGACTTGTCAGGTTAAACAAAGTTAATCAGTGTTTACTGCAGAAATGACAGCATGCCGGAAAACACATCTGGCAGTTCATTAGTGCATGTTTATGGCTATGAGTCCTGGTGAGGTGAAGGCTCGAGTTTACTTTATAATTCAGCATCACTGCGCAGTGAGTCAGGCAGGTTAAGTGGTTGTATAATGCACCTGTGAATAATTCATGTTTGGTTAAATCATTTGTGTGAATGAAGAAATTCACTGAGCACAACGCTACCTTGACATAGCCAGATGCCATGGTTTGAAACTCCTGGAGGGCCAAAACACAGTTAAGCATTCTGCTGCTTTTAATACACATTAACTCAAACTATCAGATAATAACCCATGCCTTTAGTTGAATTTGGTGGGTTGAGCTGCAACAAATATTATTTACCTTTTACAATATTTTTGTGAAAATTAAAGACTATCCAAATAATCGACAACACCCTGTGTGGCCATCTGCAGTTACATTTCTGAACTAGCTTGCGTGTTTAGCCGATGGTGGCCAACTAGATGCTTCGCAGCTAGGAACGCTAATCTGTTAACTCCCTTGGCAACCTTTGGTTTGTAGAGCTAACCAGCCATGATAAAATCAGATCATAAGCTAGCTTGAGCATTAATGCGGAAAACATATGCTGTTGTTTGATATCAGTGTAACGTTAGCAAAGATTTGGCACATTCATTTAATTTTCTTATAATTTTTACTTATTCCCCATATTTTTCACATGACCACTGTGTTTCGAGATTATGACTGAAATATCCAGGAAACAGAAGTCAATGAAAATTGCTTACTTTATTGTTTTGTCTCATAAACGTCTCTGAGGGGTTTCTGGGACAATGTGCAGTTTGTAGCTGCCACAGCCAAGTGAAGATGAAATTGGAACAAGAACAGCAATGCTACAAGCACAAAAAGCTTCAGCAAACATAAAAATGTGGCTTTTTAGTGACTCCTTGAAAAAAGAGTTGAAATGTGTGCCCTTGGACTGCCAGTTGAACATCACTGTTCGCTCCTAACACACTTTCACAAGTTTACACTTATTTTCTGGATTCTGCCCTCAGTTGACTGAGCAGACAGCAGAAAGCTAACCAGCTAAGGCTAACGCTAGAATAATGAAAGGCAGACTTCAAGTTCAAGCCTTTAAATAAAGTGGATCATTCTCAGCACTGCAGTAACACTGATGTGGTGGTGCTGTGTTAGTGTGTGTTGTGCTGGTCTGAGTGGATCAGACACAGCAGTGCTGCTGGAGTTTTTAAACACCTTATTGTCACTGCTGAACTGAGAATAGTCCACCAACCAAAAATATCCAGCCAACAGCATCTTAGAGGATGACTAACACGAACTGTGCCGCAGCAGATGAGCTATTGTCTCTGACTTTACATCTACAAGATGGACTGACAAGGTAGGAGTGTCAGAGAGTGGACAGTGAGTGGACACAGTGTTTAAAAACTCCAGCAGCACTGCTGTGTCTGATCCACTCGTACCAGCACAACACACACACCACCACCACGTCAGTGTTACCGCAATGCTGAGAATGATCCACCACCCAAATAGTACCTGCTCTGTGAGGGTCCATGGGGGTCCTGACCACTGAAGAACAGGGTAAAAGGGGGCTAACAAAGTATGCAGAGAAACAGGTGGACTACAGTCTGTAACTGTAGAACTACAAAGTGCACCTATATAGTAAGTGGAGCTGATAAAATGGACAGTGAGTGTAGAAACAAGGAGGTGGCCATAATGTCATGCCTGACCGGTGTATGAGGAGCATTACTGAAGAGCTGGTTTGAAAAACAGATTCTATATTAGACATTGCCGTGTAATGGCACTGCTTTATGGTTCTCTGTCTGTACCCGACTCTCAGTGTAAACACAATTAAAAAGTTTAAATGGAATTACTTTATTAGCATGAGTACTTGGTGTTGGCTATAAATAGACTCCTTAGACTGAAGCATTTCTCTCACACAGGTTCAGGTTTCTGTTGAGAGATCGATTAAGCTACATTGGCACACACGTATTTGAGCATCCCAACAATACAAGATCATTTTTATTTTTATTTTATTTCTATAATATTCAATGTATTCTCTGTTTGTGCTTCGCCGGAAGTTCTGTTCAGTATTAGAAATTCTAGTAACACCTCACTTGCATTTGTATGCACAAAATTCAACTGGGCAAGTGGATTTTGGTAGTCTCAGCACATTATAGCATGTGGGGGTAATTATCTGTGTTCATTTTCTAAATGCCCTTCACCACTGCAGATTTTACTCTTGGTTATTGGGGGCAAGAGGAGTAGCTGAGCGAGCAATTAACATTGGACACTGTCCCTCAAACTGTGGCTCAGTTTCCCAGGTAACATGAAAAATACTGTTAGTTCTGGATTCATTAGAGATTGTTTCTACAAATCCAGGCCACACTTCATTTCCCTGTTGTGTGAATGAATTATTCATACATTGAGGCATCCAGCAGCATAGATGAGCTGTAAATTGTCTGTGTTTTTATGTCTATAGATTGGAATTAAAATGCTGTACCATTTTTTGTTTCATCAATAATTAATTATGTGATTGGATGCTATTTGTGCAATGAAAATTCTTTGGGACCTTTGTTCTACACTTCTTTTGTTGTTTCCTCTGCAAAATCACATTAAGTAACAAAACTACATTTTGAAGAGATAACTCCTCAAACTTC